TGGTGTCCCCATTCACAACACGGCTGCTGGGGACACCAGGCCCAGCTGCTCCCTGGAGCCCATTGGCAATGCCCAGGACTTTCCTGCTTAGCAACTCGGTGCTGCCTTGACACGGTGATTTGTCATTGCTTGTACAGCTGGGAAGGTAGCCAGGGTCTCTCTTGGCTCGAGACAAGGCCACCAGCATGAGAACCAGCCCACAGGTAAGGAGAGCCACCTGAGCATGGTGCACGTGGCCTTGGGGCACCACTTCCCGGAGGAACACATAGTACATGTAGCCCAAGGAGAACAGGCCCAGGCTTAAGAAGAAGAGAGTCTGCTCCTTCCGCCTGTGGGTGAGGTAGTAGTACCACAGCACCACGATAGGAAGGGATGTCAGGATGACAAAAGCCAACAGGAAGTGCAAAGCTGCAACATGGAGGAAGACGGGCAGCAAGACCAGAGGGGGGATGAGGCTGACATTGACCTTTACAGCCCCTGTAAACCAGGGGATGCGGAAGCGGTCTGAGACAGTGTCTGCGATTCGTTCCAGCATTCCCGGGGGCAGAGATCTGCACGTCAGCAACCTGTTAGAGGAAAGCACAGGCATCTGTTCACATCCCACTCCGGAGCCAAGAGAACACTTCTGTGCTGATTGCTCCTCCCGGAGCCCAGCCTCTCCTCAATCTGGCAGAAACCATGAGGCTCCAGTGCTTTGCTAATGAGTCGCATTAACTCTCATGCCACAGATCCCTCCCCACTTCCACAGCCTGAGCCTCTCTGCTGTAGATTTAATATTTCTGGGACACAGACTGTGCCTCTGGGGGAAAAAAAAAAACACCTTTAAAAAAAAATCACTGCAAGGTTATTGCTCTATTAAAACCAGATCCCCATTTTTCCCCTAGTCTCCATCATGTCTGATTCCAACTGCCAACTTTAACGAACCCAACCTGGACCCAGAAACCAGTTCCAATGCAATGGTGTTTTCATGGCCAATTCATCACGTTGCAGCGCCTGTTCAGAGCAACTGGTGGGTATCTTGGAGGAGAGGACCAGCACAGCCTTTTCCTCCCACTCCCCGGGGCCGCCTCAGTAGCCCAAGGAAGCAGGCTTCTGGCCTTCAGATGCAGAGAGACTTCAGGCCAATGCCAGCAGCCTCACGGTACCACCCTAAGCCTCCTGAAGAAGAACTGGGGCGGGGCTGGGGCTAGGCTGGCTTTGCCCGCCAGCACCCATCGCCAAGCCTCCACGCCAGTGGGGCACGGGGCTTTGCTTAGAGCAGCAGCAGCCAACCTTTTGGGCAGACGTGCCACAAATTAGCCCTGTCCCCTCCCTCTGATCCCTCTCCCCAGCCTAATATGCTTCCCGGTGCTCCCTGCCCAAACACCTGCTCTGCTTTCTGCTCCCTGCCCGATCTCCTGCTCTTTCTAATCTCCTGCTTTCTGTTCTCTCATGCCCCTGCTTGACCTGCTGCTGCTTTGTTCCCTGCCCCATGCTCCCTACCTGATCTCCTGCTATGCCTTCTGCTCCCCACCTAATCTCCTGCAGAAAGCTCTATGCCCTGCAGGCTTCCTGATCTCCTGCTCTGCCTTCTGCTCCGTGCCCCACACTCCCTGCCTGACCTCCTGCTCTGCTCTCTGCCCCACACCCTATGTTTCCTGCCTGATCTTCTGCTCTGCTTTCAGTTCTCCACCTGATCTCTTGCTCTGCTTTCTGCTGTGCCCCATGCTGCCCGAGTTCCTGCTCTGCCTTCTACTTCCTCCCTGATCTCTTCTTTCTCCTGCTCCATGCCTCATACCCCTCCCTGATCTCCTACACTGCCTTCTGTTCCGTGCCCCACGCAGGCTTGCCTGACTTCCTGCCCCACACAGCCTACCTGATCTTCTGCTCTGCCTGCTGCTCCCTGCCTGCCTTGGTGCCGCCCTTCGTTCCCCCTGCCCCTACCTGTCGCAGCCTTCATCCAGGTCTTGGCAGTCGCACAGCACCGCCACCAGGTGCGCGCGCTCCCCGCC